ACATCGATAATGATTCTGTGAACGTTTCTCATTCCAAACGGGGTCCTTAGACCGCATAACAGCAGATGGAGGTGCCACACCTCAGGGCCCCAACACCCACTGAGTCAGACCTGCTGCTGCATAGCACCCCCCAGCTCACCCCCACCCCATCACCTGGTAAAGTCTGAGAAGACTTTGGAAAGCGCTGAAGTCCTGCTCTAACCCAAGTCCCAAATTCTTCAACACAAGTCTGACAATTGTCATTCCTATTGCAAATACTGGACCCCTACTCCCAGATTATAAAGATTTGGAGTGTCAAATGTTTTCACCCCAAAGGCCACAAAACTGGAAAATACATAACAGCAAATACGTCTTTGTGGCATTAAACAAAATAGGAGAGAAAGAAAATTAATTTGGGGCACCAGGAGTGCCAGGGGAGACTGGAGAAAAGGTCCTTGGTGTGGAAGAAGCTGGACGTGTAGAAGGCAGTGGGAGACGGATGACACGGTGTGGCCAGGTTCCGTGGGTGGATTAAGTGAGAGTAAGAGCTGACAGTCATCGGTCTTTTCCTCTGTTGTGGGCACAGAGCTGGATATTGTTCATCCATCATCTCAGATAATCTTCAGATCACCATCGCACCCCCAGCTCATACTACAGGGGTGTACAGAGACTTTCTCTGAGTGCCCAGAGAGAGTCACTTAGCGACTCTGGAGTCTTCACCCCCTACATTGCTGACGAAGCCTGCAAAGACCAATGACGGGCAAGAACCCCCATTCCCACCGCCCGGGTGTTCTCAACAGTCATGTCACAGATGATGGAGAGTCACACACTGCTCAAGGGCAGAGAGGAGTCAGATCAGATCTCCAGGGGTGGAGAGAACTTAGAGAAGGTGGAGGGGGCGGGGCAGGTAACATGGGACAGCAGTGTGAACAAAGGTGGGAATGGACAAGATGAAGAGTCAGGGGAGACTTGAGAAAACCCCACAAGTCAAGAGGCAGAGCTGGACCAGCGGCAGGACCACCACCAACGACCACCAAGGACCCCCGGAAGACTTGTGCACACGAGGAACTGAACACAGGTGTCAGTGAGGAAGCTAAGGTCTCCATCGAGTACACAACTTTTACCTTTTGAGCCCACATTTTCCCGTCAGAATTTAAACAAAGTTCATATTCTCTTAGAGATGAATTGTCCAACAGGCTGTTGTGCTAACCCACAGCAACAGGATGAAGAGAAATTGTGTACCTATTTTTATTGTAGACTTCAGAGGAGTCCCCATTGAGTAGCACATGAACCTTTCCATGGGCCTTTCCTGCAAACTTAAAAAACAAAGCAGAGTATCACACCTCCTCAGCCTGCAAACTGAATCACCACACCCCAGCGGTGCCCTTCAAAGCAGTGCTCAGGCCTAGTTGGTTAAAGATGAAATATCGTGCGTGGTTCCAGCTCAGTGAAGTCAGGTCTGCCGGTGCCATTGGGGGAATATTGCTCCCCGAGGGCAAAGAGTGGCTTCAATTTGTGTTTAAACAATGAAGTTCAATGTCATTGTTCCATGGATGCTAAATTGTGGTGCAGAAGTTGTTAGTGTAGAGAGTGAGGGGAACATTTGTGGAGAAGGAAGAGGAGGACACTTTCTTGGGACATGCAGTGTAGACACGGCACATTTCAACAGTGGGGGTTCAGTAGCCGGGGAAATGGGGATACCAAGAGGGTGGAGATAGGAGAGAAGGTGACACTGAGC